CTTTAATCCATCGAAGTATGTCAACGACAAACATATGTATTTTTACATACAGAATTGAGCTTTATATATTAGATTTAAGGACTAAAGTAGTTTAATAAAGAAACTCAAAAATGTATTATGATTTTAAAATGGATTGTATTTTTAACTAATTAATCTTTGGTTTGACCTAGATCTAGATCTATAAATAACTTTCTTGGTCAGATTGTAGAGCTAGAGAAATTTATTGTAAAACTAAATGAAAAAGACAGTTGAACATTCATATAAGTGTTGGAACGTAATAAAAACAGCAAACGGACGTATTGTTAAAGTTATAGCCGACAGAAAATTAGCTTTATAACGCGTTAAAGATCTGAATAAGCCGCCATTATTTGTACTAAAAAGTAAACAAATCATGTGACGTCACTATTCACTCAAAATAATGTCGTTTTTCTAAATTATTAAAATTAATGTGGTTAATCTACCAATGAATAAATCAATAAATTAATTAACATCTTTAAATAAATTTGTGATTATCAGTCTGTCTGAAAACAAAAATTATTCTCTACCAACATACTATTTTACAGCTCTACCTATAGTACAGATTCTCTCCAGTAGCCAATCAGACAAACAAACAAACAAATAAATATTCAAACATGTAAACAAACTTGAGTTTTAGTAGTATTTAGATTAGATAAACTCTTCTGGCATAATTATTTAACATTTTAATTGATTAGTTTTATTCGACACTACTTTATTAAAATTAATATATTTTTCTATCAATATAAGGAAAATCTTATTTGATATTGATCCGCTTAATTTGTTTTAGCAATATGCGTGTATTTAATTTTTTCTTCACGTTTTTTGTTGACGTATGCAAAAGATTAAAAACTTTGCCGAAGTTCAAAAATTTTGGGTCTCTATATATAAATAAACCCTACTCCAATGCTTCTAATAAGACAATGCAATGCAAGTAAAATCCCAGCATGTGGTGTTTACTGTTATGGTTCCCAACTCTATAGCGATGACGGAAGGAAGGGAGGGAGGGAGGGAAGGAAGTGCACACCACCAGCCCGCTTATATTATAGATATTATAGATCATAAAGAAAGAAGCAAGAAAGAAATAGCAACTATTAATAAATTTTAATTTCAAATAGGACGTCAATGTGTATGTGCCCCTCAACTGTTAATTTAACACTAAAACAATAATTAATCAACCCCCTAGAATACCCCCCCCCCCCAAATCAAAGATTGACACTATCAGAGACAAACTAATTGTTTCCATTTGTGTTTTTTGTTTTCCTTAGAAAAGAAAACATTTGACAGAAAATTATTCTATATTTTGAACTCATGTTCAGATAAATAAAAAGTGTGATGAACGAGTTGAAAGCTATCAGACGATAAAATAGTGTGCACGTTACTATAAATAGAAACCTTTCCCGCCCCTTGATGCTGTAATCTTTGACCAATAACATGGCAACATCTGCTGTCACTGTAGGTAGCGAACAGCCAATGAAAACGGTGGATATTAATAGAACCATTTTTACCATTTTTCGGCCACGTATTGAACATGGGTTACTTATTGTAACAGCATAAATCTGACGACGCCATTTTATTGTGTTTAAATAAGCAGAAATCAACCCGATTGTGAAGACGATCACAAGGCCGAATGACGTCATCTCGATGATAACATTTACACTAATAGACACGCCCTCCAGAACGTCGCTGTTCTCCGCCATGATAAGTCCAACAGAGGTTTGGTTTGACATGGGGTTGAACCTCAGACCGATGCTGTTGGCCAGATACATGGGAACCGAGTAGGCCATCGAGAACAGACACAGCGCTATGATAAATGTCAAGGCCGTCTTCTTCTGTAAGATTGTCTTGACCCTCAGTGGTAGGACCACACACAGAAACCTTTCAAAGGTCAGGTAGGTTGTCAGACAACCTGATATTCGGGTTGTCAAAATATTTGGCCAACCTATAACTGACCAGGATAATGTTGGTGCTCTCTTTAAAGCCAAGTTTACAGAAAACGACGATGTTGATGATGTTGAAGACGATGCCAAGAGGACTGATGATTACGGTGATGACGAAACAGACGAGGACAATGAGGTGGAAAGTGCCCACATCTACCAGTCCCCACACGGCGGCTGTAGCTCTGCTGGTCACCTCCATGTGGTTTTGGTATGATGAGCTGCTCTGTGTCGCCATGGTAACTCCCTTGTGTTCACAACTTCAAACCAGCGTCGCTAGAGTGGGAACAATATGTCTTCAGCTATCACTAAGAAAGTACCTGCCTTCAAACAAAAACGGTATTTAAACGTACTCTACCAAATAAACTTCTAAAAAATTAGTGTTTCTCTACGTACAGGTTGAAAAAAGAAATAATGTATTCAAAATGACCATATTACGCTTAAAACCAGTTATATTAGCAAGTTAAGGTTTCTGTGTTTTAAGGACTGGCAGCATAGCCTCCGGTTAAATAAGAAATTATTTACAAAACATTTCCTGTTGAGGTTTGGTTTGATGTCATATTTACCTCTCGCATCTACCACCTAGTAATTAACACAAACTTATTGATTGTTCGGTTATTAAAAAATCCAGACAATGTTTCGGGCTGTTCTATTGCTTCTGGTTGATAAAAAATTCCAAAATATCACGAAGCAGTTCAAATTAAAATTACACATAATGTAAAAGTCGTTTTAATTGCAAAAACTAATATTTTTAATTAGTTGGTAACGTATTTTTAATAAGAGAGTCAGATGTAAAAAGAAAGTAATTGTTACGTCGCAAACTACAGCCCTTTGTTTCCCAGCATTTATCCTACATGCTGACGTCATATGTCGTGATGTGTTTGATCGATATTGTTGTTTCACTTTTGTCTGTACGACAGTAAACATGTACACCGGCAGACGTGGCGAGCGGTCAACATTTGTTGTTCTTCGTGATAGCCTCAAGCGCGTATTTATTTAGCCGTAGAACAACTCGCATCTGTTTGTGCTAAAATTTAAAGTAAACAAATATTTGCCGGAGCACATTGTCTGACATACGTGAGGCAAATCTAGACTGTAAGCTGACACATCATTCAAGTAATTCAGTATAAACTCATCAACAAGCAAGCCAGGGAATGACACACAGAAGAACATCAACAGCCAACACCACACAGAAGAACATCAACAGCCAATACCACACAGAAGAACATCAACAGCCAACACCACACAGAAGAACATCAACAGCCAACACCACACAGACTACAACATAACAGCCTAGACCAACAAATGAAAACCAATCCAATTTTTGTTTCTAACGGAAGCAATTTTTTTACCTGATGACACACCCAAAAACCCAGGCAGCCTTACAGGTTTTATGTGAGACCTACCCAGAGAATACTAACAAAACACAGCCAGCCTTACACGTCTTACGGTACACTGTGAGACATACACAGAAAATACTAATGTAAATAACGGCCGATAAATTGGGGCCGTTTGGAGGCCCACTTGTTCCAATCTAGGCTAAAAAATGGTACATGAATGTTCAGATAGTATGTGTCGTGTCTCCTCAAATAATTCTTTGCATGACAAGCCTGGGACCGTGCTTTAGTCTTCGCCCCAACATAGCTGTGTATTTAATCTCACGCGTACAACTGGTTTCCTAATAAGATATAGGAATGTGTTGAACGCACATCGCATAAAAATTGGGCCGACGGAACAGACGGTCTTGGTTATGTGAGGTACCACAGACGGTCTTGGTTATGTGAGGTACCACAGACGGTCTTGGCTATGTGAGGTACCACAGACGGTCTTGGTTATGTGAGGTACCACTGACGGTCTTGGCTATGTGAGGTACCACAGACGGTCTTGGTTATGTGAGGTACCACAGACGGTCTTGGTTATGTGAGGTACCACAGACGGTCTTGGTTATGTGAGGTACCACAGACGGTCTTGGCTATGTGAGGTACCACAGACGGTCTTGGTTATGTGAGGTACCACAGACGGTCTTGGCTATGTGAGGTACCACAGACGGTCTTGGCTATGTGAGGTACCACAGACGGTCTTGGTTATGTGAGGTACCACAGACGGTTTTGGTTATGTGAGGTACCACAGACGGTCTTGGTTATGTGAGGTACCACAGACGGTCTTGGCTATGTGAGGTACCACAGACGGTCTTGGTTATGTGAGGTACCACAGACGGTCTTGGTTATGTGAGGTACCACAGACGGTCTTGGCTATGTGAGGTACCACAGACGGTCTTGGTTATGTGAGGTACCACAGACGGTCTTGGTTATGTGAGGTACCACAGACGGTCTTGGCTATGTGAGGTACCCCACTTGGAGTGTAATGTGCTTGTGCTGTGGCCAGGCAAGACATACACAAGTACATCTGCACGCAGCACTTTTAAAATACAATCAGCCCTCTGACAATGTACTCCAGCAAGTTTATGGTCACTTGGATGGATAAATCTTATATGCAGCGGTAGTAAATTTATACTAGACAATTTCGCTTTGTAGAACTGTAAATTACAAATTTATATAGAGAAAAATTCTTTTTGCACCAAATGTAATACGCAAATTTATTTAAAGACGATAATTATTTTTTTTAATATATTCATTTGTAGAAACACCCTTGTAATTATAAAAGTTCAGAACAATTACTTTATTTACTTATTTTCACAACAAACATGTCTTCCATGGAAGACCATGTTGCCCATTCAAAAGTTTAACGCATTATGAAGCTAAATTTTCTGAGGAAACTCAGGTCTATTTCTTCACTTCTTACTATACTTAATAAAAGAAAACATTTCACAGAAAACTTTTCTAAACTTTGAACTCATGTTCAGATAAATAAAAAGTGCGATGAACGAGTTGAATGCTATCAGACGATAAAATATTGTGTAAGTTACTATAAATAGAATTCTTTCCCGCCCTTTGATGCTGTAACCTTTGACCAAAAGTACTGCGACATCACCAGTGACAGTAGGCAGTGAACAGCCAATGAAAACGAAGGATATTAATAGAACAATTTTTACCAGCTTCCGGTCACGGTTTGTGAACTGGGTATTTTTAGAGTGTATGGACATTTGTTTCCTCCATTTAGCTGTATTTAAATACGCAGAAATCAAGCCAATGGTGAAGATGATAATCAGTATGTATGACGTCATCTCTATGATAACATTTACACTAATAGACACGCCCTCCAGAACGTCGCTGTTCTCCGCCACGATAAGTCCAACAGAGGTTTGGTTTGACATGGGGTTGAACCTCAGACCGATGCTGTTGGCCAGATAAATTGGAAAAGAATACGCGATCGTTAGCACACACAGCGCTATGATAAATGTCAAGGCCGTTTTCTTATGTAAGATTGTCTTGACCCTCAGAGGTAGGACCACACACAGAAACCTTTCAAATGTTAGGTAGGTTGTCAGGCAACCCGCTATTCGGGTTGTCACAACATGGGGCCAACCTAAAATAATGAGGTTGACAGCATCGATACAATCGTCACTAGACGTGTCGGCTAGTTCTGTGCTAAACGCCATACCAAGAACGGTCAGCAACATGCACATGTCCGTCACCGACAAACTGACCAGGATAATGTTGGTGCTCTCTTTAAAGCCAAGTTTACAGAAAACGACGATGTTGATGATGTTGAAGATGATGCCTAGAGGGCTGATGATGAGGGTGATGACGAAACAGACGAGGATGATGAGGTGGTAAGTGCCCTCGTCTATCAGCCCTCCCACGTCGGCCTCCATCTGTGTAGTTGACTCGGCCATGCTGGTGCTTACATCACTTAGTGGGCTGCTCACGGGGCAGATCGCTACCCTCTTGTCTACTGTAGCACTATGCTACCTTGTAGACACAGCTAGCACTATGCTACCTTGTAGATAACGCTAGCACTATGCTACCTTCTAGACACAGCTAGCACTATGCTACCTTGTAGATAACGCTAGCACTATGCTACCTTCTAGACACAGCTAGCACTATGCTACCTTCTAGACACAGCTAGCACTATGCTACCTTGTAGATAACGCTAGCACTATGCTACCTTGTAGATACCGCTAGCACTATGCTACTTCTAGACACTGCTAGTGAGTGCAGTAGAAGATCAAACAATTAGATTTATCACGGCTCTAAGTCTCGAGTTGTGAGAGCAGAGACACGCGGACATTCTAAACATGAAAAGAAAATTGGTTAATTTCATTCTTCTTGATCTTGCTTGAACTTGGAGTAAAGTTGGGAAATAATTCGTTCAAAACGTCAAGACGTTTCTTGACTTTTCTGTACCTGAACCAAGCCCCCCCCCCCCCTCCACCATAAATGTCATCACCACTGTGACAAGCCTGAGTTACGAACCGATTGTTGCATGACATGAATGTTATAGTAAAAAAAATAAATCCAGTTGTTCCTTTGTTGACGCTAATTGATTAATAATGCAATTGCTGCATGAAAACAGCAAGAAATATTTCCAGTTGTTTTAGCAAGGTACAGCTATTCAAAAAATGCCTTTGAAGAAACTCCGGAGATGAAGAAAGCAAATTTTCGAATAACAAGAAAATCAATTTTACATCATAGAAACAAAATAATTCACAAAGAATTTACAAGACAGAAATTGTCATTTTGTCATTCCAGTAATTACGTTCTTTGTTTGGCTCGAATGATTTGTGTGTGTGTGTGTGTGTGTCTGTGTGTGTGACATTCTGACGTCATTCTGCAACAGCCGACGGACTGTTATAGTGACCGTTATTTAAGAAGTCTTGACGAGTGTTGGGTCACCTTTTTATACCGGCTGACCAGAGGTGTAGTATCGCCTCCATCCAGTCAACAGCTAGTCTTAGTCTAGATTGTGAAGTGTGTCCCAGCTTCATTGTCTACACTTCTTATATTTTAATGTTTACCTCCGTTATCTTATGTTGACTGTGTTTATGTTGCTAATATTTTAGAATTATATCTCAAGCCAATGTAGACCAGATTTCGTTACATATTTATATTTATTTTATTTCTTGTATGTCTTTCACTTATTTACTTAGTACATAGTAACCTGATGCGTTGTTGGTACTATTAATATTACATTTCCTTCGGTTTTTATTGATCTAAGTTTAAGTAGACATTTGTGTGTGTGTGTTAAATAAAGATTGGACTCTTTCATGTAATGCAGTTATGTCATTCTTTAACTACATAGTTTTTACAATCCAGATGAAGGTCACGAGTTAACCGTTCAGGGTTTAGCAACAGCTGCTCAAACACAGGGTATATTTATAGTCCAGCAGGTAGAATAGGATACCCTCCCCCACCCGCACCCCGTTAGATGTTAAATTTGGTGGCAGCGAGGGCAGCAACACACTGGCGACAAGTTTCTTGTTGGGGTGGGTCACAGGTTTCTGATTGCACGGAGGTTTAGGGTAGGGGGTGGGGTGACGTCTGTTGCAGTGTGGTGATTCCTAAGTCGCAACAGCAGGACGTGCTTCGTGTCAGTGACGACAACAACGGTCACCAGGGGCCAGATCGCTGCCCGCAGCTGTTACGGCAACATGGCTACTGGCAGAAAATAAGCGGCGGTACTGCCGAGAATGTGACACATCAAATATCCCATGGTACCGTTACACCAACCAAAGGGCCGTCTTTTGGCAACCATGCCACCGACATCACCCAGTTGCCCGGAGCACAGATGTGTTGCCATCCCCCGTAGTGTTATGTAAGAATATTCGAGAAAGTTATAGGGAGATCACTCCCGCTTTATTAGATCGAATGTTTTAACCTAGTCTGTTTTCGTAGATTTTTTGCTCGACTATAATACTTCCTTTATATTTCGTATACGAGAAAGTAATAAACCGGGAGTGACCTCCCCTAAAGTTTCTCGAATAATCTTATATAAAAAAACAGGGGATGGGAACTCGGGATATAGACATGAATTTTAATCCATTTGAAATACTTAAACTTAAAAAAAAAAAAGAATAAAATCTCGTAGAAAAAATAATTGCACACCAGTGAACGCCAAATAAAATGTGCATAATAGTGCGGAATATTATTAGTACTTTATAAATTTACATTAGTTTTTGAGAAATCGGAAATAGCGTAAATTAGTACTTCCGGTCAACGGAAATTACTCAATATTATAAAGAAGGTAGAGAATTAGATCATTTACTTACTTGTGAAATTTCATTTATCTATCTGAAATAGTACTCAAGTTATAGGCTTTAAAAAAATCAAAGTAGAAAAAGTACCACTTCCGGTTATCGGAAATCGCTCAAAAGTGTATACGGATCTAAGATTTTGATAAAATACTTACATATGAAATGTCATCAACCTAGCTGTAACGGTACTCAAGTTATCGTATTTACAGACACACATACAGACACACACACACACAGACATACACACAGACATACGGACAAGATTGCAAAATTATGTTTTTCCGTACCAATGAGGCGTAAAACGTCGAGATTTGCAAGATTACAAGACTTTCTCTATATTTCGTATATACGAGAAAGTAAAAATGTAACAATCCTAATATATAATAGCCCATGTGCGCACTTCTCTCTCTCTCTCTCTCTCTCTCTCTCTCTCTCTCTCTCTCTCTCTGTCCGCAAAATATTTTCGCCGGATATCACATCAAAATCTGCAGCGATATATGGAGGACTTGATACGGGCTTTGGTTGAAAATAATATGGTAGATGTTTTAAATGTAAAACCAACATTTTATTTAAAGAAGAAAAAAAATAAAGGCGTATTCAAATGTAGAAAAACAATTTTAATTATGCAACCGGAAAAATGTTTATAATTGGGACAAGAGCCCATTTAGCAATAACGTCACTTAATGTATACACTAAAAAAAGAGCACGAAACTAATGACGTCATCTTCCGAGTTTAGAATAAAATAAAGAAATGAACTATTTCATTCAAATATGATTTAGAGCTATGTACGCTATGAAATGTATACAATACGATTTTCTCGGCCTAAACTTTTAAAAGTTTTTACTTTATCTATTTGGATTCTAGATAAAGATCTAGATCTAGATCTCGATTCTAGATCTAGACTAGATCTACGGAAAAAACTAGATGTAGACGCTAAAATCTGGATCTACTCTAGATTCTATTCCCATAATAAATTTTTATAATTAACTATTTCAGGCCTTAATTATTTTATAGAAATCTTTGTTTAGCTATAGAATTGTACTTTAAAAGAATAGGGCTATTCGCGTAAGTTAAGTTTCTTCACCAAGTTAATCTTAATTTTTTTTTCAATTTGTTTTTTTTTTATATGTTGATAATAAAGTTGCCTATCGGGACTTGGCGGGACTTTTTAGCCTATGAAGGGATAGTGTGGTCAGACCCATGTGTTTTTAAAAGACTAAAACAACAGAACTGCCATTGAACAGCCGGGTTTTAAAAGAAATCTTTTAAGTTTCTTAATCAGCGAGTGCATTTAATATGGTATGGTTACCGATGAAGAAATGAGCTATTTCATTTAAATGTATAGATCTATTCATAAAAACCTAATAAAAATAAATCACTTTAAAAACAAGAAGAATACCGTGGAATAGCCGAGTTTTTAACGGAATCATTTAAGTCACTTAATCAGTGTTTGCCTGTGTTATGTTAAATGTGTCGCGTTTTTAGCTAATTAGTTATTTCTTGCTTTGTCACTAATATCGTTCAGCGCGTAGTAATGCAAATTGCGTTTTAACCAATAACTATTTTATAAATTTTTTTTCTCAAACAAGTTCAACATTTTAAAATATATAGGCCTATAATGCAAATGAAACGGGTACCGATGGCTAGTGTTTAAAAAATTCCTGACATATTTGTGTATTTGAGTATTGTAAATAAACATATTTATTAACAAATTTCATGCAAAAACTTATCTGACATTTTTCTGCAAATTTATTTCCTGTGATTTTTTTTCTTGTGATTTTATTTTCTTCGAGTCTTTCGTGTGATTTTATTTCCACTGATTTTTTTATCTACCAATTGTAACGACGAACACATCACCATCTTCTCTAGCGTATGACTTGCACATCATTTCGTCAAGTAAAATATTTTATCCCCAGACGACACAATATAACTTTACTCAACAAGTAAACCTCGACCCAAAGTTGTTTCATAACTTCAAGGCTAATTCGCCGTATGATGTCCAGTTGTTAGAAGATGGAATGGCTCTATGATGTCCAGTTGTTAGAAGATGGAATGACTGGACGATGTCCAGTTCTACCCTCTATGCTCCATTTTTTTCTGTTTGTCTTTGTTATTTTTGCTAACATTTCCAAAATACAACTTGACCCAGAAAACTCTTCTAAATTTAGAACTCATGTTCAGGTAGATGAAGATGTTGACGACAGAGTTGAGAGAAATAAAGTTGAACGATATGGCAGTTGTGGCTAAAAATAGAAACTTCTCCCGCCCTTTTAAGTTGTAATCACTGACCACTAGGACGACGACATCGACAACAACAGACGGTAGAGTGCAGCCAATGAAAATAACGGATATTAATAGAACCATCTTCACTAGCTTTTGGTCACGACTAGAAAACTGGCTATTTTTAGAAACAGCTGATACTTTCTGTCGCCATTTTGTTGTCCTGAAATAAGCAGAAATCAACCCAAATGTAAAAATTATCACCAGAATAAAAGTTATCAACTCGATGATAACATTTACACTGATAGACACGCCCTCCAAGATGTCGCTGTTGTCCGCCACGATAAGTCCAACAGAGGTTTGGTTTGACATGGGGTTGAACCTCAGACCGATGCTGTTGGCCAGATACATGGGAACCGAGTAGGCCATCGAGAATAGACACATCGCTATGATAAATGTCAAGGCCGTTTTCTTCTGTAAGATTGTCTTGACCCTCAGTGGTAGGACCACACACAGAAACCTTTCAAAGGTCAGGTAGGTTGTCAGACAACCTGATATTCGGGTTGCCACCACATTGGGCCAACCCAGAATTAGTAGTGTAACGGCGTCAAGGACATCGAGTGTTACAGCCGAAGTCACGCCTACATACAAGTTTAATGAAACGCCAACAAACGTGGACAAAATACAAATGTCCACCACAGCCAAACTGACCAGGATAATGTTGGTGCTCTCTTTAAAGCCAAGAGTACAGAACACGACGATGTTGATGATGTTGAAAACGATGCCTAGAGGACAGAAGATGATGTTGAAGATGAAAGAGAAAATGACGACAAGACTATAGCAGTCTGCATCCATCAACCCCGGCTGACCCTCTGTGGTCATCGTCAGGCCGTCACCGCTCAGTGAGGTCATCTTGTCAACAACCACCACCATATCCCTGACACGTCTCATCTCTACACCTTGTGTACATTCAATTTTTCAAGCTTTGTCAACTTGAATGTAAACAAAAGGCATCTAAGATTTCTTTCATGTTTTAAAGTTAAACTAAAGTTAGAAGAAACTAATAACTAAATTTAGACAATTCTCGGTGTATATTTTAACTTAATTCATGTAACTTGATGTCAACACTCAAAGATCACCAATGTAATTAGAGCCTAGACATGAAATTTATCCATCGATCCTTGGTGTAGTGGTAGGGTTATGGTAGGGTAGTGAACTCCTGTTTTGTTGTTTAATCATAGTGTTGGCAACCCAATACTCTGACTAATACTGACAATAATCTGACTAACGACATTTAATTCGATAAATATAGACAATATTTTAATAACTACATTTAGATAAAATGTAATTGAAAGATATACTATTGTGATGGTTTTTATTTGTGTAATTACTCTTACACTAGGATTAGTATGTCTCGTGAATTATAATACTCTTCTGTAAGCTCATTAATCTCAGAAGTTTTACATAGTCATCTCATGTACTGATACAGATAAAAGCGTCATGTTTATAGATATCTGTTGGCTAGCAAGGGTTTACTTTCTACATGGGCTGGTTCAAAACTGGGATTGATAAAATAACTTGCCAGCCAGCTAAACAAGCAACAAGAGTAAAACTTCTACATGGGCTGGTTCAAAACTGGGATTGATAAAATAACTTGCCAGCCAGCTAAACAAGAAACAAGAGTAAAACTTCTACATGGGCCGGTTCAAAACTGGGATTGATAAAATAACTTGCCAGCCAGCTAAACAAGAAACAAGAGTAAAACTTCTACATGGGCCGGTTCAAAACTGGGATTGATAAAATAACTTGCCAGCCAGCTAAACAAGAAACAAGAGTAAAACTTCTACATGGGCTGGTTCAAAACTGGGATTGATAAAATAACTTGCCAGCCAGCTAAACAAGAAACAAGAGTAAAACTTCTACATGGGCCGGTTCAAAACTGGGATTGATAAAATAACTTGCCAGCCAGCTAAACAAGAAACAAGAGTAAAACTTCTACATGGGCCGGTTCAAAACTGGGATTGATAAAATAACTTGCCAGCCAGCTAAACAAGAAACAAGAGTAAAACTTCTACATGGGCCGGTTCAAAACTGGGATTGATAAAATAACTTGCCAGCCAGCTAAACAAGAAACAAGAGTAAAACTTCTACATGGGCTGGTTCAAAACTGGGATTGATAAAATAACTTGCCAGCCAGCTAAACAAGCAACAAGAGTAAAACTTCTACATGGGCTGGTTCAAAACTGGGATTGATAAAATAACTTGCCAGCCAGCTAAACAAGAAACAAGAGTAAAACTTCTACATGGGCCGGTTCAAAACTGGGATTGATAAAATAACTTGCCAGCCAGCTAAACAAGAAACAAGAGTAAAACTTCTACATGGGCCGGTTCAAAACTGGGATTGATAAAATAACTTGCCAGCCAGCTAAACAAGAAACAAGAGTAAAACTTCTACATGGGCTGGTTCAAAACTGGGATTGATAAAATAACTTGCCAGCCAGCTAAACAAGAAACAAGAGTAAAACTTCTACATGGGCCGGTTCAAAACTGGGATTGATAAAATAACTTGCCAGCCAGCTAAACAAGAAACAAGAGTAAAACTTCTACATGGGCTGGTTCAAAACTGGGATTGATAAAATAACTTGCCAGCCAGCTAAACAAGAAACAAGAGTAAAACTTCTACATGGGCCGGTTCAAAACTGGGATTGATAAAATAACTTGCCAGCCAGCTAAACAAGAAACAAGAGTAAAACTTCTACATGGGCTGGTTCAAAACTGGGATTGATAAAATAACTTGCCAGCCAGCTAAACAAGAAACAAGAGTAAAACTTCTACATGGGCCGGTTCAAAACTGGGATTGATAAAATAACTTGCCAGCCAGCTAAACAAGAAACAAGAGTAAAACTTCTACATGGGCCGGTTCAAAACTGGGATTGATAAAATAACTTGCCAGCCAGCTAAACAAGAAACAAGAGTAAAACTTCTACATGGGCCGGTTCAAAACTGGGATTGATAAAATAACTTGCCAGCCAGCTAAACAAGAAACAAGAGTAAAACTTCTACATGGGCCGGTTGAAAACTGGGATTGATAACATAACTTGCCAGCCAGCTAAACAAGCAACAAGAGTAAAACTTCTACATGGGCTGGTTCAAAACTGGGATTGATAAAATAACTTGCCAGCCAGCTAAACAAGAAACAAGAGTAAAACTTCTACATGGGCCGGTTCAAAACTGGGATTGATAAAATAACTTGCCAGCCAGCTAAACAAGAAACAAGAGTAAAACTTCTACATGGGCCGGTTCAAAACTGGGATTGATAAAATAACTTGCCAGCCAGCTAAACAAGAAACAAGAGTAAAACTTCTACATGGGCTGGTTCAAAACTGGGATTGATAAAATAACTTGCCAGCCAGCTAAACAAGAAACAAGAGTAAAACTTCTACATTGGGCCGGTTCAAAACTGGGATTGATAAAATAACTTGCCAGCCAGCTAAACAAGAAACAAGAGTAAAACTTCTACATGGGCCGGTTCAAAACTGGGATTGATAAAATAACTTGCCAGCCAGCTAAACAAGAAACAAGAGTAAAACTTCTACATGGGCCGGTTCAAAACTGGGATTGATAAAATAACTTGCCAGCCAGCTAAACAAGAAACAAGAGTAAAACTTCTACATGGGCCGGTTCAAAACTGGGATTGATAAAATAACTTGCCAGCCAGCTAAACAAGAAACAAGAGTAAAACTTCTACATGGGCTGGTTCAAAACTGGGATTGATAAAATAACTTGCCAGCCAGCTAAACAAGAAACAAGAGTAAAACTTCTACATGGGCCGGTTCAAAACTGGGATTGATAAAATAACTTGCCAGCCAGCTAAACAAGAAACAAGAGTAAAACTTCTACATGGGCCGGTTCAAAACTGGGATTGATAAAATAACTTGCCAGCCAGCTAAACAAGAAACAAGAGTAAAACTTCTACATGGGCTGGTTCAAAACTGGGATTGATAAAATAACTTGCCAGCCAGCTAAACAAGAAACAAGAGTAAAACTTCTACATGGGCCGGTTCAAAACTGGGATTGATAAAATAACTTGCCAGCCAGCTAAACAAGAAACAAGAGTAAAACTTCTACATGGGCCGGTTCAAAACTGGGATTGATAAAATAACTTGCCAGCCAGCTAAACAAGAAACAAGAGTAAAACTTCTACATGGGCTGGTTCAAAACTGGGATTGATAAAATAACTTGCCAGCCAGCTAAACAAGAAACAAGAGTAAAACTTCTACATGGGCCGGTTCAAAACTGGGATTGATAAAATAACTTGCCAGCCAGCTAAACAAGAAACAAGAGTAAAACTTCTACATGGGCCGGTTCAAAACTGGGATTGATAAAATAACTTGCCAGCCAGCTAAACAAGAAACAAGAGTAAAACTTCTACATGGGCCGGTTCAAAACTGGGATTGATAAAATAACTTGCCAGCCAGATAAACAAAAAACAAGAGTAAAACTTCTACATGGGCCGGTTCAAAACTGGGATTGATAACATAACTTGCCAGCCAGCTAAACAAGCAACAAGAGTAAAACTTCTACATGGGCTGGTTCAAAACTGGGATTGATAAAATAACTTGCCAGCCAGCTAAACAAGAAACAAGAGTAAAACTTCTACATGGGCCGGTTCAAAACTGGGATTGATAAAATAACTTGCCAGCCAGCTAAACAAGAAACAAGAGTAAAACTTCTACATGGGCCGGTTCAAAACTGGGATTGATAAAATAACTTGCCAGCCAGCTAAACAAGAAACAAGAGTAAAACTTCTACATGGGCTGGTTCAAAACTGGGATTGATAAAATAACTTGCCAGCCAGCTAAACAAGAAACAAGAGTAAAACTTCTACATGGGCCGGTTCAAAACTGGGATTGATAAAATAACTTGCCAGCCAGCTAAACAAGAAACAAGAGTAAAACTTCTACATGGGCCGGTTCAAAACTGGGATTGATAAAATAACTTGCCAGCCAGCTAAACAAGAAACAAGAGTAAAACTTCTACATGGGCTGGTTCAAAACTGGGATTGATAAAATAACTTGCCAGCAAGCTAAACAAGAAACAAGAGTAAAACTTCTACATGGGCTGGTTCAAAACTGGGATTGATAAAATAACTTGCCAGCCAGCTAAACAAGAAACAAGAGTAAAACTTGTACATGGGCTGGTTCAAAACTGGGATTGATAAAATAACTTGCCAGCAAGCTAAACAAGAAACAAGAGTAAAACTTCTACATGGGCTGGTTCAAAACTGGGATTGATAAAATAACTTGCCAGCAAGCTAAACAAGAAACAAGAGTAAAACTTCTACATGGGCCGGTTCAAAACTGGGATTGATAAAATAACTTGCCAGCCAGCTAAACAAGAAACAAGAGTAAAACTTCTACATGGGCCGGTTCAAAACTGGGATTGATAAAATAACTTGCCAGCAAGTTAAACAAGAAACAAGAGTAAAACCTTTTACCAATGTCACAGCATGAGGTGAGAAATCTTTCAGTCGCCATGAACCGTTTGTACCGACACTTGGGTCAAACAAGGCGACACGTTTGGTTGAATACAGAACGACAGGCTGACTTGTAGCATGACCGGTTGGATAACTTGTAGCATGGCTGGCTGGCTGGCTAACTTGTAGCATGACCGGCTGGCTAACTTGTAGCATGCCCGGCTGGCTGGCTAACTTGTAGCATGGCTGGCTGGCTAAATTGTAGCATGGCTGACTGGCTAACTTGTAGCATGCCCGGTTGGCTAACTTGTAGCATGCCCGGTTGGCTAAGTTGTAGCATGGCTGGCTGGCTAACTTGTAGCTCCACAAGATTATGTTTGATGTTGAGATCGCCTCACTAATTGGTGGTGCTAATGATAGACTCGACATCTCGCTGTGTGCCTAGAGCTCACTCAACCAACAGATATTCATTAAGTTATGTAAAATTGTAACACAAAATTTAAATGGCAGCTCATACGAAATTTTAATTTCTTTTTACCGAATAGCCAGGTCTTATATCCACGGTTAGTTTTGCCCCTGGAGGTGGTGGTGGGGAGGGAATGTGTTGATCTAAGTTCGCTGTATTTTATTTAAACGTAAGGACAGTATCAGTGGTAATAAATTATTGGCCGGCTATCCGCAAGCGCCTTACCAAAGCTATTTTAGCTTTATGAAATATTTTTCAGTACTTTAAATAAGACAGAGGAAGTGAGTTAAATAAAAGCTTGTAAAAAAATTCATAAAAACGTTTTAATAAAAAGCTTTTATGTGATAATGCACTAGAAAGTAGAAAATAAATTGTACACTATTATTTAAATAACTACTTTAAATGTTTTTAATCTATAATATAACGCTGCTGGTAGTGTGTCAGTCCTTCCTTCCTTCCTTCCTTCCTTCCGTCATCGCTATAGATTTTGGAACCATAAAAGTAAACATTCGCACCATGCTGTGCTTTTCAGTGCACCGCAGCGTCTTATTATAAGTATTAGAGTAGGGTTTGTTTATATAGCGGCATAGAGCTATTTTATAATTGCCACGGTTTTTACTCTTTCGCATAACGTCAAGAAAATATTAAATACACGCAAACTGCTAAAACGTATTAAAAAGATTAATGTCAAATATCATTTTCGTTTAGGTTCCCAGAAAAAGTGGATACATTTTAATAAGATAATAACAGTACGGTAGAAAAATCAAATTAATTTAACTCTTTTCTAATTTTGACAAAGGAGGTAATTTAAAAATACATTAAACTCACGCTAATAAAAAATGTAAATGCAAATATACGTTCGTCATAGAAGGAATTAGTGTTGCAATAATATAATTAGCAAAATGTGAATGCAAATTATTCGGATGTGTAAGAGGAAATTATTGTTAGAAAATTATAATTAGCATGGATTGATAAAAGGCAATCTTTTATTTATTTTATTCACTGAATGTAGGCCCTACTGTTTATTACTTATAATTTTTAATCAATTATTCAGCACTATTATAGGCGCGTCATCACGTTCATTAGGTGCGCAATGGTTTTAGTTATGAAACTCTATTGTAAATTTTTTAAATTTAAAGTACTGGAAAAAAAATGCGTGAATCGATAAAGTGAAATATTGTATATATTATAGATACTGACTATTATTTATACTGTTTTCTAATTATTATTCTATCTTTCGGGTTTTATAGGAGAGGCGTAGCGAGGGGGGGGCATATGTCCCCGGGTGCCGACCTTGGGGGGCGCCAAAGTGGGTTGTAAAAAATGTGCGAGGGGGGTGGTGGAAATCGAAGGTTTTAGGGCGGGGGGGGGGGAAGGGGTGCAAATCGAAAGTTTGAGGGGGGTGCAAATCACCGGAAAGGGCGCGATTTGGCGCTACGGGCTAGACTGTGAGCAATATGCCTTTATGATTGCATTTAAATTGTGTTTATGTTATGAGTGTTGTGTTAGTTTTTTCGTTTTTTTCGTGTTTTTTTTTGCGTTCGTTTGTGTTGTGTTTAGTTTTGTTCTGTTCCCAAGTTGGTAAGATCCGTGGCGGAGCACGGGATGCAGCTAGTCTATAATATAAGCGGGCTGAGCGTGTGTCAGTCCTTCCTTCTGTCATCGCTATAGCTTTTAGAACCGTAAAAGTAAACATTCGCACCACGCAGTGCTTTTCAGTGCACCGCAGTGTCTTATTATAAGTATTAGAGTAGGGTTTGTTTATATAACGGCATAGAGCTATTTTATAATTTCCACTGTTTGTACAATTTTGCATAACGTAAAGAGAATATTAAATACACGCACATTGCTAAAACATATTTAAAGGATCAATGTCAAATATCGTTTTCGTTAATATTCCCAGAAAAAGTGGATACATATTAATAACATAATAACAGTACGGTAGAAAAATTTAATTAAACTGCTTAGTAATTTTGCCAATGGAGGTAATTCAAAGATAAATTGAACTCACGCTAAAAATGTGAATGCAAAATCTGCAAGACGGAATAATTGTTGGAATAATATAATTAGCAAAATGTGAATGCAAATTATGCAGACGTGTAAGAGTACATTATTGTTGGAATATTATTATTAGCATTGATTGATAAAAGGCTATCTTTTATTTATTTTATTCACTGAATGTACTGTTTACTAATTATAATTTTTAATCAACTATTCTCCATTACTATATTAAGTCATCACGTTCATTAGGTACGCAATGGTTTTAGTCATGAAACTTTATTGTAAATTTTTAAAAGTACTGAAAAAAATGCATGAATTTATAAAGTGCAATATGGTCGGTAAAACACGGATATTCTAAATACTGCCTTTAATTTATTTGCGGAAAAGCTAGGGGTTTTATAACAGAGGCGTAGCAAGAGAGGGGGGGGGGGTGGAAATCGAAAGTTTGAGGGAGGTGGGAGAGTGTAAATCGAAATTTTCCGCCGGCGCTCGGAAAGGGCGCGATTTGGCGCTACGGGATAGACTGTGAGCAATATGCCTTTATGATTACATTTAAATTGAGTTTATGTTGAGTGTTGTGTTTGTTTTTTCGTTTTTGTTTTTTCTTTGCGTTCGTTTGTGTTGTATTTAGTTTTGTTCTGTTCCCAACTTGGTACATTTAAAAAAGATTTACCGTGTGTTGTGGTTGTGTTGTGGTTGTGTTGTGGTTGTGTTGTGGTTGTGTTGTGGTTGTGTTGTGGTTGTTTTGTGGTTGTGTTGTGGTTGTGTTGTGATTGTGTTGTGGTTGTAATGTGGTTGTGTTGTGGTTGTGGTTGTGTTTTGTTTGTGTTTGTGTTGTGTTTTTGTTTGTTTTGTTCTGTTCCAAAGTTGGTATATTTTAAAAAGATTTACCGTGGCGGAGCACGGGATGCAGCTAGTTTACAATAATGTTGTATAACTAAAAACCATTGCGCACCTAATGAACGTGATGACGCGTGTCTAATAGTGCGGATTAGTTGGATGAGAGAGCCTACTAATTTGGAAAAAAAAATTAAATTCATTCCTTAAAAAATTAAGTCAAATTTAATGTCATGTTGCATTGTCTTCATGTCTTGACCCAAATGCCAACGTTGAAACAAATCTGTCAGTTAGAAGCGTCCGAAATTTCACTCGGGCGTTTCGATCTAGACAGACAGACTGACGAGGAATGGAGTTAAATAAAAGTTTGTAAAAAGTTTTATAAACAAGCCTTTATGTCATTATTCACTAAAAAGTAGAAAATAAATTATACACTACTATTTAAATAACTATAAAGAAAAGCGTGGGTCTGTTCCTAAATATTAGTAAAGGTATCCAATAGATACTAAAGTGACCCACGCTTTTCTTTATAGTAATTTAAATGGTGGTGTATAATTTATTTTCTACCTTTATTTAATATTTTTAGTGCATCTATAGGCTTGTTATTAAAACGTTTTTTTTAATGAAATATGATTCTGGTAATGAAAAGTGAAGTTACAGATACGCTGACTGTGCTGCATAAACTATCCTAACAATATCTGAACAGTTCTTTTAATCCCCCACTCAAACCTTCTATCAGAAATTATTATTAAGACAGGTAGATTTTACATTTCGAATCAACTTTCCTTATTGTTTAGAAGCAACAAACAGGTGTCAGAAGTGACTTCCTGTTGCTACCTGATCACGTGACAAGTTCTAGTCTGTGTATCTTAAACTCGAGCTCCTCTGTTGACTGGATGTGACACGACCAGCTGGTGGCAATGTTTCTAGTGCAGGACCTGGTCGTCTGCTCCCCATAGAAAACATGGCCCAGAAGGTTCGTCTAAACTTGGAGCTCATCTTCAGGTAGATCAAAATCGTGATGCTAGAGTTGATGGCGGTCACGTTGAAAAATGTGGCGGTTGTAGCTATAAATAGAAATCTTTCACGGCCTTTGATGTTGTAGTCTTTGACCAAAAGTATGACGACATCAGCCGTAACGTTGGGAAGAGAACAACCAATAAAAACAATGGATACCAAGAGAATCATCTTTACCAACTTCCGGTCACGATTTGAAAACTGGCTATTTTTAGAAACTGTAGAAGTCTGGAGCCTCCATTTTGAGTTCAAATTCAAAAAATAGATTAGACATAAAGAGAACCCAATGACAAGGGTGAAGGACGTGAACTCGATGATTATATTTATACCTCGGGACACGCCCTCCAGAACGTCACTGTTTTCCGCCACGATAAGTCCAACAGAGGTTTGGTTTGACATGGGGTTGAACCTCAGACCGATGCTGTTGGCCAGATACATTGGAACCGAGTAGGCCATTGAGAAGACAAATAGCCCTGCAGAAAATCTTATGGCTGTTTTCCTGGTGAGTAGTGCCTTCACCTTCAGGGGCCAGGCCACGCACACAAACCTTTCAAATGCCAAGTAGGTTGTTAGACAACCCGTTATCCGGGTTGCCAGAACATTCGGCCAACCCAGAACAATGTAGCTAACGGCATCCAGGATGTCATAGCTCGCGACTGACTGGACAACCATCGGGTTGTTGTTGACCATGAGACCAACCAACGTCAGGAGAATGGCGATGTCGGAAACAGCGAGACTGACGAGGGAGATGTTGGTGCTCTCGTTAAAGCCAAGTTTGATGAAGACGATGATACTGACGATGTTAAAGACGATACCAAACGGGCTGACGATGCTGGAGAGAATTATATTGACGAGAACTATCGTCTGACACGTCGAGACGCTGACCAAAGCGGTGTCCAGTTCTTCTGGCCAAAGATCTGATGACGTGCTACTGGTGTTCTGAGTTCCAGCCATTTTGTATCTGGTATTTGTATGACGCACAATTTAGCTTTGTTCAAATGTTGTTCTCTGGTGAGGTAGCCTATATGCCTTGAATGTGAAGTTTTCAGTGCATGAAAACTCAAACAAAATTCAATACCGAATTTGTAGATAACACTACGACCAGCACTCAGCGTTTAAATTGAGCAAACATTCATTGATTTATACATATGCCCCCTAGTCACGTGTCATTATCCAAAAATAAAAAATAGGCCTACCTAAATTTATAGTAATTATTGCGGCAGTAATTATAGTTTGCAATTCGATGATCAAAAGACATAAACATTCTAAAATAATTAAACTAATTAATAACTCTCAATTTTCAATTCGTTATTTTCAAGACGTTATGGCGTTTGAATATTTCTTTTAATTAAATCACGGACGCTAATTGTGTTGTAATTAAATGATTGGTTGTACCGCGTGCAGACAAAAACCTAATTAGCGATGTTACACACTTCCCTGGGGCACTGAAAAACACGCTTCATCGGAACAAAATTTTAAAATCATTAAACTCTGTTAATTAAAGGCTTCAGGTAATTATCTAATGACGGCGTTAAGCAATATTTAATCCAGTAATGACTGACATATATGGTTCAATGTCCGGAAGTACAAGAAGGTAAACTGATGTTACAGTAACAGAGGTGAATACTCTGTAGAAGTAAACATTTTTTTAAAGAGCCGACTATCACAATCTTTAATGCGGCAGCTTACTGCTTCAGGTTACCGCAGATTTATTTTCTTTCAATGTTTAAGTGTGGACCTAGCCCTTTTTACTTTCTCGTACACGAAGTATCGAGGAAGTATTGTAATCATGCAAAAAATCGAAATCGAGATTTTCCCAAACCTCGACGTTTTACACCTCATTGAGTCGGAAAAACATAGTTGTGCAATTTTTCCGTATGTCTGTGTGTGTGTGTGTGTATGTGTGTGTGTATGTGTGTCTGTGAACACGATTACTTCAGTACAGTTACACCTGGGTTGATAAAAATTCTATATATCACATGTAAGTAAAATATCTCATTCTCTGCCTTCTGTAAAATGTTGAGTAATTTCCGTTGACCGGAAGTAGTAATTTACGCATATTCTTATATAAAACAACGGGGGATTTTAACTCGGGATATACGCATAATTTTTATTTTCTCGTATATACGAAGTATAGAGAAAGTCTTGTAATCGTGCAAAAAAAAAAAATCGAGATTTTTACAAATCTCGACGTTTTACACCTCACTGATACGGAAAAACATAATTTTGCAATCTTGTCAGTATGTCTGAGTGTGTGTATGTGTGTGTGTGTCTGTCTGTCTGTGTGTAAACACGATAACTCGAGTACCGTTACAGTTAGGTTGATGAAATTTAATATTTAAGTATCTTATCAAAATCGTAGATCCATATCAACTTTTGAGCGATTTCCGACAACCGGAAGTGGTACTTTTCCTACTTTGAATTTTTCAAAAGCATATAACTTGAGTACTATTTCAGATAGATAAATGAAATTTCACATGTAAGTAAAAGATCTATATCTCTACCTTCTGTCAAATTTTGAGTAATTTCCGTGTACCGGAAGTACTAATTTATGCTATTTTCGTTTTCTCAAAAACGCATGTAAATTAATAAAGTACTAATAATATTGCGCACTATTATGCACATTTTGTTTTGGCGTTCGCTTGGTGCGTAATTCTTTTTTCTACGAGATTCTATTCTATTTTTAAAAGTTTAAGTAGTTAAAAATCATGTCTATATTTCGAGTTATATAAGAATATTCGAGAAAGTTTAGGGGAGATCACTCCCTGTTTATTAGTTTTAGTTGTAGTGTCATCGACGACGAACGTTTACAATCTTAGAGCACAAAAAAAGTTAGTAAAAGCTATTATGGGTAGATAATAGAGTTTTAAACGATTGGAAACTAAGGGAAGGTAACAATATTAAGAAGCCATCGCTTGACCAGTTTGCTGTCGTCTGTAGACTGCAGTTGCTTTCACGCTCTAGAATGGCCACGTGTGTTGTAAAAGGGCAGAAATCTGCTTTCAGATATTCCGAGCTACGGATGGCGCCTTAAAGCAAATATCTTTAGTTGTAGCCTTATCTATAAATATATATATATATATATATATATATATATATATATATATATATATATATATCAAAGTATATCTGCTGCAGGCAGATGGAATTTGTCTTTTATGAACGGCTCGGGTTCATTCTTACATTATAACAATGGTGCATTGTAACAATGGTGCATTATAACAATGGTGCATTATAACAATTGTGCATTATAACAATGGTGCATTATAACAATGGTGCATTATAACAATGGTGCATTATAACAATGGTGCATTATAACAATGGTGCATTATAATAATGGAAAGGTTTTTGCTCACTATCTAGATAAATTCAATGAAATTTTATATTTTTAAATTTTTGAAATATGTGTATAGGCCGGGTCTACGACAAATTACAGAAAGACACTTGCCCGAATGCCGTTTGCCCGTAAGCCGATTTCCCGAATGGACACTTGACCGAATGCGACAAATGCCCGAATGGACACTTGCCCGAATGCGACAAATGCCCGAATAGACACTTGCCCGAATGCGACAATTGCCCGAATGGGACAAATGCCCGAATGGACACTTGCCCGAATGCGACAAATGCCCGAATGCCACTTGCCCGAAGGCCGTTTGCCCGAAAATGTTAACATTTTATATTACCAGATAGTCATTCGTAAACAATTTAAATTTGAAATTTGGATAAACAATACACATCTTATCAAAAAATGAAAAGAAAATAATTATTATAATATATTAACACGCAGATATTCTTAATTAATTTGTATTTGCTATATAAAAAGTGTACAAACATATTTTTCAAAACTTACATAAAAGAATGTAAAGACATCGCCGCCAAAATCATCTTACATTTATTAAAGAATAAAGTAGTTGTTTTTTTTTTAAAGCAATTTCTCATGTTTGAAAAAAATAAAAGTTAATTTTTTTAAATATAAACAAATTTGTTTTTACGCTTAGTATTGTGTTGAATATCAAAATTAAAAACTTGAATTGATTAAGAATGTTTATTTGGTAATATAATTTTTTTATTTAAGATTTACATTTTTCGGGCAAACGGCCTTCGGGCAAGTGGCATTCGGGCAATTGTCGCATTCGGGCAAGTGTCCATTCGTGCATTTGTCGCATTCGGGCAAGTGTCCATTCGGGCATTTGTCGCATTCGGGCAAGTGTCCATTCGGGCAAGTGTCCATTCGGGAAAGTGTCCATTCGGGCATTTGTCGCATTCGGGCAAGTGTCCATTCGGGCATTTGTCGCATTCGGGCAAGTGTCCATTCGGGCAAGTGTCCATTCGGGCAAGTGTCCATTCGGGCAAGTGTCCATTCGGGCAAGTGTCCATTCGGGCAAGTGTCCATTCGGGCAAGTGTCCATTCGGGCAAGTGTCCATTCGGGCAAGTGTCCATTCGAGCAAGTGTCCATTCGGGCAAGTGTCCATTTGGGCAAGTGTCCATTCGGGCAAGTGTCCATTCGGGCAAGTGTCCATTCGGGCAAGTGTCCATTCGGGCAAGTGTCCATTCGGGCATTTGTCGCATTCGGGCAAGTGTCCATTCGGGCAAGTGTCCATTCGGGCAAGTGTCCATTCGGGCAAGTGTCCATTCGGGCAAGTGTCCATTCGGGCAAGTGTCCATTCGGGCATTTGTCGCATTCGGGCAAGTGTCCATTCGGGCAAGTGTCCATTCGGGCAAGTGTCCATTCGGGCAAGTGTCCATTCGGGCAAGTGTCCATTCGGGCAAGTGTCCATTCGGGCAAGTGTCCATTCGGGCAAGTGTCCATTCGGGCAAGTGTCCATTCGGGCAAGTGTCCATTCGGGAAAACGTCCGGCTCCCGTATAGGCCATGTAGGCGACCTCATTTCCGTGATTTTTAGGTTTTCATAATTTAAATATTCTGTGCTGGATTCAACGCCGGTGCTTTTAGTTTCTTATTTATACACTTGTGTATTTACCTATTTAGTATTTATTTAACACTAGCTGTCCCGGCAAGTCACTGCACTGGCCTCTGTGAAAACCCTATCTGTAAAGGAGTGTGACGTGTGTTCATTAAGCTGTATATGCCGGTCGATGCCCGGGTTTATGAAATATATTACTTTTTAAATTAAATATATTCAAATATAGACGTTTGAGAAATCAAAACACAATCCTAAACCGAACCCTAATTCTAAACTTAACCCTAATCACAATTAATCATAACCAAAATACAAACACAGACAAAATAAAGCTAAAATATGATATCCCAAGAACCACCATGAATGACATTTGAAAATTTGAACCACGATAACTGACACTTGAAATGTTTTCAATATCAATAGAACCTCTGTATTTGAAAAGTGTTGTAGCTTAAGTGTTGTGAGGTTTATGTATAGGCTCCGGGGAAAAAACGGGATTTTTTTTTTTAAATTAATAAGCCTTTTTAAAACTTTATTCGTGTATCTAATTTAAGGTATTTATGGGAAAATATTTGCATGTATAAGGGACTCTTCTTAACACATGGTTGCCATGGAAACGGCGACCATCTTGAAAAACGATTAGTTTTTGTAACAAGTGAATACTCTAGAAATATGTGTTTTCTAATTTTCAAAATTTGGTATGCTGAAATACCATTTAATTTTTCATTTTATATTTTATTCACCATCCCGCGTACTCAGGTAATGTACAGGTGATTTGTAGCTTACACACGTCAAGAGGTGACACTCGTGGGACTAGAGACACAAAAATCTGGTAAAGTTAATTCTGTTAGCGTGAACTAACGTCAAGATGTCAAGGCCAACGACAGATCTCTGCCGAGTAGTCTCACTGCAGATAAATCAATTAACCACTCTCGGAATCTCTTTATTTTTTATTAGAGACAAAAAGATTCCAGAAAGTTTGGTTAAATTTCGTGCTCATTTTCAAGTAGATGAAAATATTTACGGTCGAGTTGATGGAACTTAGGTTAAAAAATAAATAACAGGATGCTATAAATAGATTTTTTTCTTTTCCGATCACGCTGTAGTCTGTAACCAACAGCATCACGACGTCTGCTACTACTACTGGAAGAGAACAACCAATGAAAACACAGGAAATCAGTATCACCATTTTGACCAACTTCCGGTCGCGTGTCGACATATTTATGCTTGTGGCCGCGGATGACGTTGCTTGCCGCCATTTTATCGTCTGCACAAACGACTGAATCAATCCAAACGTGAAGACGATCACCAAAGTGAACGATGTGAATTCAACGACTGTGTTTACACCACGTGACACCGCTTCTAGGATGGCGCTGTCCTCAGCAATGATCATCCCGACAACCGTCTGGTTCAAGTTGGAGTTGAACCTGGGGCCGATGTTGTTGGCCAGGAACATGGGGATGGAGTAGATGACGGAGAAGATGTAGACGCCCAGAGAGAACAGGACGGTGCTGGACCTTGTGATGACGGTCTTCACTTTCAGCGGCCAGGCTACAGAAAGGAACCTCTCAAACGTGATGAAGGCCGTCAGACAACCCGCTATTCGGGTTGACAAGACGTTCGGCCAACCAAGAATGAGATAAATGACTGCGTCGATGATGTCGAAGTTCGGGGCAGACGTGAGCACGAGGGGGTTGAAGACGACGCTGTAGCCTAGCAACGTGAGCAGTATGCAGATGTCGGCCACGGCTAGACTGACGAACGTGATGTTGGTGCTCTCGTGGAGGCCGAGTTTGACGAAGACGATGATGTTGATGACGTTAAAGGCGATGCCGAGAGGGCTGACGATGTCGGAGAAGACGATACTGAAGAGGATAATCACCTGGAAGACGTCGTAGCCCATCAGCCCCTGCTCTACTTCACCTGCCTCCAGGCTTGTGTTTTGTTCCATCAACTCCAGCATGGTGCCACAGTCTACAGGTTCTAATTTACAAACACGCAGTTTGTTCAGGTCTCTCTGTAGCAACTCTAAGTAGATTTTCTCTGCTCTGATATTTGTTTTCTTATAGGACTTTTCTACATCTGGCTTAACATCAGCTTCTATAGACTTGTGAACAAACTTGATGTTTAAAATGGTTCAAGTCAGGATCAGCCTTAAACCTCAGTACATTTACATTCGTTAAAAACTGCAGCTCATAAGTTGAACAAAGTAGGAAAGAATTAAGTTCAATTTTATCTTACAACAAAAATCTATTCGTCTACATGTCATGCAACATTCCAGTTAGATGCTGATGTAGACATACTCATAGATAAAGTTTGTGGGTATTTTCAAGGTTTACGGATGAGAATAATGAAGTTCGACACTTTGCTCATAGAAACCCAAGTTTTTAAACTCTTAACCTCTTAGCTGTAAAATCACAGGCCAGGAGATATTTGATCTAGATGTATATTCTAGAAATAAATGTAATGACATCCTCAGTTAGAATTACCTCCCCACAGATGATCAATGAAGTCTCTAGCTGGTGGGCACGAACCAATTAGTGAAACGCCAGACTTAGTCCAAGTGCTGAAACAGCAAGTTAATTGGGCGGCTTCTGGTGATGATGAGAAGATTAATTTTCCATAATTTTCTCTAGTGCTGGGATGATGATGTCAAATTAACGGTAATTACATACTAATGTCCAATTATGGTATGACAAAATGTAATCTCATGTCATTAGCTAATTACACGTGCCGGCTGTTTAACTTAAATATCATTAAATTATCGAAATTACTTTGTCTAAAGTCAATCCAATAATATTAAAACCACTACAGAAAACTACACTCGTATTCTAAAGTCTGTGTCACTGAGTAAAAATTACATATCCAAATGTTCTTGGGTAAATACAGTTTCAACGTGCAGTGAATAACTATTAGTTTGTTAAGCTCTAAGTGTGCCACATTGTGCCTACATTTATGATTCTATATCTACACGCTACATTCTGTTGATGAGCTAGAACGTGGTATATTTTGTGCTGCAGGTTTTAGTGTTGGAGCTGTCTCCACAACTTAACAGGACCCGACGTGTCAGAGTCCGACAGTGGGGTGAGATTTATAGGTGTGTAGCACTGGGGGGGGGGGGGAGACTTCCTGGGTCCATCCCTAGGGGTCAGATTTGGTTACTGGGTCCATCCCTAGGGGTCAGATTTGGATCCTGTGTCAATTGCGTGAGGTCAGATCTGGCTCTTAGGTTACGCCTTTTACAAGTCGGCCAGACTGTCCAGCCATTTGACCAGCTCGCCCTGAGCATCAACGAAAAATAAAAGACTAAAAAAAAAAATCATAAAAACGTTTTAATAACAAGCTTTAATGTAATAATTCACCAACATTTTTCTTTAAATATACACTAATACCCTACTATTTAAATAACTATAAAGAAAAGCGTGGGTCACTTTATTATCTATTGGATACATGTACTAATATTTAGGAAGAGACCCACGCTTTTCTTTATAGTTATTTAAATAGTAGTGTATTATTAAATATTTAAAGAAACTCCTTTATTTTCTACTTTTTAGTGCATCATTACAAAACAAAACCTCTTTAGCCATTGCCTTAACGATAGAGATCGAGTAACCAAGACATTTACTAGTTTTTTTACCCGTTTTTATTTCTGGAACCTTCTAGAAACTTCAACAGAGATAATTTCTAAAAACGTTTGTGTATATAATGTAACATAATACAATAATTGCACGGTGACCGGCAAGTCAGTCTGATACGTGGGCGGCAAGTCTTATAACGGCACGGTGACCGGCAAGTCAGTCTGATACCGGCGACACAATACAGATTCCGATGGGTGGAGAAGCCAAAACTGACTATATTTGAACAAATCAAAGCTTAGGCCGCATATTAAATTCAATCAAATAAATGTAATTGCCTCCAGACGAAAACAACGACCACAAAATCAAAAATTATTTGTCTATTATAAATATAACACTGAACAACTTCGCCCAATTGATAATTGCCATACCCTTTCAATCTTCATTCCATCCCACTACATTGTTATTGTTCTGAAACTTTTGTCGGTAAACAAATTAAAAAAAAAAAACCTTCATGTCCGTAATTTTTGTAACTTTTTTGTTTCGTGTACAGCTAAAAGTACTCAAACAAATTATGAGCGTGTTGTTTTTGTCATGTTTTTGCCAGTAGTACAGATTGGTCATGTTGGAACCTAGTCCTCTGTTGGAAAAAGTTAATGGCCTAATAAATTCGTTTTGAATTACTAAACATAAAGAAAATTAATGGCGGGCATAAATTGGCGATGGACGTTTAATCGAGACGGCTAAAATAAATTGTCTAAATTAAACAGGGTTTGTAGGTCAATCATTGGCTTTAAAACAGAGGACGAAAACAGAGGACAAAAACTGAGGACACAAATAGAGGACTAAAAATAGAAAAGAAAATATAATTTTGGCTGTAGATAATTGGTGTATACTGTGACATTCCCAAGTTTTTAATCTGCCGTCTGTATTGTTAGCTGTGAAAACAAATATTGTTTTGTCATTTTAAATATTTTAAATTTTATATTCCTGTAAGCCTCTGTCGTAATTTTGTAGTGTAAAACAATTTAAATTTTTAATAAATCACTAATAAAAACATTTTAATAACAAAATTTTATATAATTATACAATAAAAAATACAAAATAAATAAATAAATGATTTTCTTTAAATAAATAATAATGCACTATTATTTAAACAAAAATCGAGAAAAGCGTAAATAGCTTATTAAAGATAATGTACTGACCCAAGATTTTCTTTACAATTAGTAAAATTTAAAGTAATTAAATTAAGTAAGAGTGCATTATTATATATTTAAATTAATTCATTTGTTCTACTTTTTAAAGCATTTAAAAAAAAATTATTTAAGTAGCCTACCTGTTATTAAAACGACTTTTATAAAAAATTTACTTTTTGTATACAGAGTTTAGAGAAAGTAGGTCCCTATGGGGCTGGTAAGTAGGTCACCAACCTGTTATATGGCTCATGCAGGTTTTATTGAGCCGCATAACTGGTTGGTGACCTACTTACCAGCCCTATTGTAATGATGCATTAAAAAATCGAAATTAAGATTTTCACAAAGCCCGTCGTTTTTACACCTCCCTGAGTCGGAAAAAATTAGTTTTGCAATTTTGTCCGTATGTCTGTGTACTTGCCTGTCTGTCTGTGAACACGATAACTTAAGTAACGTTCAGTTATGTTGATGAAATTTAATAAATACGAGCCGACCCGCAGCGTATCATACGCCGCTATTTAGTTGTTTTATTTTCTACTTTTCAGTAATTCATAATTTGTGAATTCGACAGTACCAATGCTGCCACTGAAAATATTTGCTTTAAAACAATACCCCCCCCCTTTCCCCTAACCCCGACCCTACACCCCTCCCCGTGAAAGCAGCCTCCTCTTAGTTATTTCTTAGTTACCTCCTGTAAGTTTAAAATCGAACTAAATTATCTACCCCTAATAGAAACCCGGCTCTACGGCTCTACGATTTGTAAACATTTAGAGTCAACACAGCTCACCAGACAATGTGGGGGTGGGGTGGTAGTGATAGTGATAGAGAGAAAGAGAGGGTACTGCAAGGAGGCGCTTGCAGCTTGTTTTCTAACGGCTCCCAGAAGAGAATTATATATATAGATTAGTATTGTATCAAATGTGCAGTTCTGTATCAACTTTTATGGAATTTCCGGTAACCGGAAGTGGTACTTACTTTACTTCCGGTTTCTCAAAAAGCCAATAACTTGAGTTTCTTTTTTTTAATTTCTTTTCCACTAATCTGATATACAAATTCTACAAAAAAATCAACGCTTTTTTTTTAAATTTAAAATCGCACAAATATGAACTTTGCTCAAAATTTTTCCGATTGTGTGTTGAGCCTGAGTTTTATACAAATTTATTACCAATAAAACTCATTACTTTTAACTTTCTAGAGTTCTTGCTATTCACCCGGTAACAAACAAAAAGATAACTTTCAGGTCGACTCTAAAAAAATTAATCAATGTGAAATCGATTTATAGCGATAGTGAGTATATAATCTTCTTATTTTTCCTTTTCTTAATGAATTTACAAATAATTTGTAAATAATTTTTTAAGGCATAATGTCTAATTTGATTAAAAACTTGATATTCTTGCTTTGTCACGTGAAACAAGTGTAGCTGGAAAGCTCTGAACGAAATCGCTGCATTAGAAGTTGGTCAAAATTAAATTACAAGATTTGTCGCACCCCAAAATAGACATTGTTAACCAAAATAAAAGCTTATAAAAGGAGATTACCCCAATATTAATTTCATTCGTTATAAAATTATTTTAGTATAACTTGCCAGAGAACGGTTGACAAACCTGCATTTAGTGATATCTGCACACAAACAGGTAAACAAACACAACTATAAACCTGTTTTGTGAACTCCACCCTCCCCCCATCCACTCCTGCTGGCTAGATGTACTGACCAGTGACGTCAGCTAGTTCACGAGGCGACCTTGTAGTTCCATCTTTAGCCGAACTGGTCGATGATGGTCTAGTACCAAAACACGAGAAGAGCTCAAAGAAAGCTCGGTTAAACTTTGAACTCATCTTCAGGTAGATGAAAATGTTAACGGTAGAGTTGATAGCACTAAGGTCGAAAAAAATGGCGTCGGCTACTAAAAATAGAAATTTCTCTTTCCCGTTGATGGTGAACTCCTTAACAAACAACATGACGATGTCAGCACTCACTGACGGCAGGCAGCAGCCGATGAACACCAGAGATATAAATAGAACCATTTTAACCAACTTCCGGTCACGATTCGACATGGACCCGCCCTCCCTGCCGGATAAGGCCGAGATCCGCCATTTTGTGGAGTGGAAGAAGGAGTGTACCAAGCCAAGCGTGAAGAAGGTGACCAACAGGAAGGAGACCACCTCCGTGGTGACGTTCATACCACGTGATATGCTCTCCAACACGAGGCTGTCGGCTGACGTCACGAGCCCAACCACCGTCTCGTTGTAGAGCGGGTTGAACCTGAGCCCGATGTTGTTGGCCACAAACATGGGGGTGGAGTAGGCCACCAGCACGACGTAGACGCTGACGGCGAACAAGATCGTGTTTCTCTTGGTGAAAATCTTCTTCACCTTAAACGGGATGGCCACGCACAGAAACCTCTCCAGCGTGATGAAGGCCGTCAGACAACCCGCCACCCGGGTTGTCAGCACGTTGAGCCAACCAAACAGGTAGCTGAGGGCGTCGATGATGTCCATGTGCGTGACGTCACGCACCACGGGCGGGCTGAGCACGGCGCTGTACCCGATGAGGGTGAGCAGGATGGTGGTGTCGGCCACAGCCAGGACCACCAGCGTGATGTTCATCTTGTCCTTGAACCCCAGCTTGACGAACACGATGATGGTGACGATGTTGAAGATGATGCCCAGCGGACTGATGACCAGGCCGGCGATCTCAAAGACGACCAGTAGCAGACTGTAGTACATTTCCTTGTTAGGGTCAGGCTGACCGCTGTACATGCCCGTAGTCAGGTCAAGCTGACCGCTGTACATGCCCGTGGTCAGGTCAAGGTGACCGCTGATGTTCGGGCTGCCCATGGTAACGCCAGCATCCGGTGACCAGCCCATTGTCCAGTAGCAGTGGGCAACAGTTCGAGTGACCGATAATGTTTCAAGCGGCTAAAATTATGGAAGGTGTTGATAATTCATCACAAGTAGAATCTCCTCCCTCCAGTAGATAAGGTTACTCGATTTATCAAAGTTTGATAATTAGGCATGCAAGAGAGGTAGCTCGGGATATTCTCACTGTAATTCTAAGACGACAAGCTACAGCACAGACATAGTATTCGTTTTCTTCCCAAAGACACTCGATCTAATACTGTAAAGTCTCCAAACAAATAGACACCAATGTTCTCCCACAGAAAGACACATGAAACTGTCAGAGAAATGTTCTTTAAACATGCCAGCCCATCCATCCATCCATCCATCCAGTCCTCCTCTGATTTACCAATTATCTAACTTTAGCTCCTCTAACCCAGTTCACGTCTGCTAAATTGGTTTGTATAAAATTAGGATTTTATTTCTTTTGTGTACACTAAACGGTAGTTTTATTGGCTGCTCAAATAGAAATATTTTTCTAGTCCGTTTATGACATGACGTCATCAACTGTGATTAGCAGACGAGAGTTTAACGACAGCTCGAAGTTTGGCGCCACTTTTGTTTCAAGTCTGCTAACTCAGCTTGAGCAGAACTGAAGTTTTCTGGCACAATTAAAAAACACAGGCTCCGTCATCTTAGATACCACAAGTATTTATTTACATTTTGGCCAGAAACACTGTAATTAATCTGATCGTACCACTCTAATTAAGACGTTAGATTTACTTAGTTCTAAGTGTATTCAATATAACGCCTGAAGAAAAAATCAACTTAATTAAGATTTTAATTATAGCTTTAGAATAATTTTTTAATCACTGGAACTGCGTAATACTAGGCTTACATGTTAATTATGTCCATTGATTTTCGTGAGGTCCCTAATATTTATAATTAAGATTTTAACCCCTGCAACCTTATGATACACTAAAATAAGCAATTTAAAATATCTACTACAATTTACGACAATTTATAACAAATTGCAGAAAGGTTGATTTAGATCGATGTCCGATAATTGCAGAGAGAATCAGCTCAAACGTCATCAAGCTATGATTTAGAGCTGTAATTAATTATTTCACGTGAACGCTCAAGTTAAATACATACAAATCTCGTGGATGGGCTTGTCACGTGGTCTAATGTGGCGAGATGTCAGCGATAATCTCAGACCCACCACTAACATGCTGAGACCACAGCTCTCTGATAGCGGGTAGTTGTCTCCCCTCAGTAGAGTAGAAGTTAGAGACACTCCATGGTTTTACACAAGGCTCCTCTTTGTCTCAGTTCTCCAAACTATGTGGTCAGTCTGTCGAACGGACATTGGGTCGTGTGTGAATCTCGAGGTCAACCTTGTGTGCCAGTTGAGTCTACACATTGTCACGTGTCACTACAAGTAGCTGGAGCCGTAGTATCAGTACCGTTGTACGTAACAAGGTTATATTTTTTTCTTTTCGTCTAGTTATAGCAGTAAACAAATACAACAAGCTTACGTCTGGAAACTATATATATGGATGACGTCACTTCTTGAGAAATTATATATGGATGACGTCACTTCTTGAGAAACTATATATGGATGACGTCACTTCTTGAGAAACTATACATGGATGACGTCACTTCTTGAAAGTATATATGGATGACGTCACTTCTTGCGTTCTGACACATCGATCTTATGGTGGACACGCAACCCACCAATCCGACCTGGATCAAGCGTGTATCGCGTGATGGTCAGTCGGCCCTCTAGACTTGCTCCGCAGATCTTTGTAGGCCTCTCTCTTGGTGTAAGCGAGAGGGCATTGGTCAGTGAGGTTGAGAGATGGCAGTCTGCAGGTATTGAACTGTTCGATCATGCTGATTGCAAATGTCGACGTTATCATTTAGTTATTGTTGAAGTAATCAATGTGTTGTTTGAATTTAACGACAGTGGTAAGAATGTATTCGATATTGAGATTCAATTCAATTAGTGAAACACATGTAACACATACCATGATTACCAGTCCGGGGGGGGGGGATAATTTGTAATTTATTTGATTGCGGTCCCTGTTGTACCGCAACTGTTGTTATGCTCTTATGGGGGTAGGCTCCAGAAAAAACCAACTTCCAAATAAAAACTTTTTATTGATTTATTTGTGTATATCTAAGTTAGGTTACTTAAAGGAAAATATGTCCATGCATCGGGGACTCTTTTGAAAGTATGGTTTCCATGGCAACGGCGGCAATCTTGAAAAAAACATCCTTTTCTGGACTTCTGAAATATCATAAATTCACATATATATCGGCTATATAACCTTTGATAATTCTTGTACTAACACTGACAGAGTCAGTTGGCTAGTTTTTCTAACAGAAAACACTCTCGACTTTATTTTTTTTTTAATTTTGAAAATTTGGTGTGGCGAAATTTCATTGAAATTAATGCTAAATTCAATGGAATTTCACCATACATTTTCTTGAAAATTTGAAAAAAATATTTGTACCTGTTTTTCGGTTACAAAAACTAGCCAGCTGACTCTATTGGTGTTAGTTTAAGAAGGATCAATCATTATATGGGCGGTTTATATGTTACTTTATGAAGTTTTAGAACTCCACAAAAGATAGTTTTTTCCAAGATGGCCGCCGTTTCCATGGCAACCATATTTTCAGAAGAGTCCCATTGATCGTTTGTGTGTTATCTCTCAGCCCTTCGAAAGATTACACCTCAGTGGGTGATATCACACCACATCCCCACACAAATATTGTTTTTAAAACTTCAGAAAATAACTAAGGCCTATAAATAGCATTTACTGGTAAAGATTTTAAGGATCCGTTTTCAGACTGCCCCCATCAGCAGTGGCAGTGACTTAGTCCTCCTGATGGAGCATAGGGCCTCCACCATTTCCTTCCATTTCTTCCGATCCCCGGCTATTAATTTTGTCATCTCCCAAGACATCCCTGTTGGCTTCAGTTCTTCAAGAAGACTCCGCCTCCAGGTCTGTCTTGGGCGCCCTCTCTTCCGTTTTCCCTGGGGGTTCCACTCAAGCGCTTGGCGTGTAACATTTGGGTGAGCCTTTATCAGCAGTGGTAGTGACTCCCACTTAAGAAGTTTTTTTTTACGCCGTCGCTTCTCGTTTAGATTTTGTTTAGATTTAGTCCCAGATTGATTTAATTGTCTTAACATACATAATGGTAGACACGTGTTTTAATAGGAATAGAACAATAGCCTATGTAACAGTTCAAAAATCATACATAACTAATTAGTATAACAACTAATGTATGTTACGTGCTTAACTACTAATTTCATATGACGTCACGTCCATTCGTGATACCTACGTCCATCGCCACAGTGGTGTACACCAGACGTAAACACAATCAGCTGTTCACCAGCGCTGGACGTGTTCACTGTGTGTAAAGAACCGCACCCGCGGAAAAGGAAAAATGCGTTAAAAAACTTGAACTCTTAGGAATTGAAGATCCTTATTCTGTTATTGACAGTTTCGTAGATGATATAAATATGTGGCCAAAATTTCTAAATAAAAATACTGTTAGTAATACTGTTTGCGTTTAGAGTTTAGGTAGACTAATCTGATCAAATGCAGTTCTCGATACTTTGTTTCAGGTAAGGACAGTAAAATAATAAACTTCATTTTAATTATAAAAGATAACTATTAATAAAACAAATATGCTCGACCTTCAAAAATACTAATAGTAAAAGACAAAGTCAAAAGTAATAATAAGAATAATAAGATCTAATAGTAGGCCTAATAATAGTGTTTTAATATCTAGATATAGAATCTAGCTCTAAACATGGCGTAAACAAAATTCGGACCACAGATCTAGATTCTGGATTTAGGGTGACTGGCTCCGCTGGGTAGACATAGAATCTAGAATCTACTTCTTTACTTAAATTTAATTACAAAATTTAGATCTACATTCGATTCAAAATACACCCATAATAAATCAAAAGTAGTCATAGTAGGCCTAATAAAGCATTTAATTGTCTCTAAGATCTAAAATCTCGCTCTACAATCTAATCATTTTTTTAGCAAACGAAATTTTCTGAAATTGAAATAGATTGTATGACTAGACTTAGATCTAGAATCTGCTAATTAAATTAAATTTTAAAAATTGTATACAAGCATGTAATTGATATTATTGTAGTAGAAGGCTTTAATAAATTACTATGTATCTGATACTGGACTGAGTTTAATTAAATTAAAATGCATATCTAGTAATTAGTCTACTAAGTTTATGTAGCCTAGTAGTAGAATCTAGATCATACCAGCCAACAACAAATAACCACATTATTATTATTTGGTTAATGATTAGGCTAATTTTTTTTTAATCCACTGTTTATAAAAGAAACAAATCAAGGTAGAAACATTATAAGACTGAGATGGTTTAGAATAATAACAATGGACCCAGTCTACAATTGATACAATTGCAGGTCTACATAGGGCCTACAGTCTAGTAGTTTACAGTAGGCACCTAGTGTGTAGCTAGTATACTAGTGTGTAGCTGTCCAGAGTTAAGATTCTTAATGCCTTAATGCTTTCCCCTGATAAGCCATGTGTGCTATAAATGACATAACATGGCATCGAAATGAGAAATGTTGATGGGAGAGCAGTGGGACTTTCCCCTTTGTTCTCCCTGCTGGGCCCTGAGGGTTTCACGGAGGTGAGAAATTTTCAGGGGAGGGCAGTGGTACTGACTCCTCTTTGGTTTTATTGTGGGCTAGATACAGGTGGCGGCTGGCCACCATGAGGGTTGAACATCAGTATAAATGTGTCTGATCACTTCCCTGCTGGATTATAAGGGTCTTAAATTGTATAACATACTACCAAGATTGGCTGAGATCTAAGAACAGCAGTGGTTATTACCCATGAATTATATTAGCCGTTGTAGTGTGGGTTTTGTAGGAGTTAAGTGGTCTCACGTTTGCTACAGTAGCGTGGTTGTACTAGATCTATTGCTACTAAATCTTGTACTTAACAGAGAATCTATAATCTTCA